TAGGATCCTTCAAAGGACGTCCGCTAGTTCAAAGTCTTCTTTTATTCACCACGAACTAGTATAACCAGCTCTACAGTGATTGCTCGAAACACCGTTTCGCTTGAGGATCTCAAAGTCAGGTAAAACAGCAATCCGAAATGAAGGGATGGGATTGTATACATGAAAGATGGTCGATTCGTCGACGAGTATGAGGTCTGAGCTGACTAATCGTGATGGATGCTCATCATTGTGTACTCAAACGTGGTCTGCTGCGAGTGCTCTATGGGAAGATTTCAACTAGGGTATGTCCAGTAAAAATAACGAAGCCAGAATCCATTTCGAGGACCTACAGAATTATTTATTTTGGGGATTTATTTACCAATACAAGATATATTCGGATTATAGGCAGGAATATCGTGGCATCCGACTTCCAATATAGCTAACTGTTGGAAGAAATACATCGCGTATGATTCAGAGCATGATCTGATGTGAATACTTGAGTGAATGGCTCGACTCGGTGATATGCCCAATGCAAACATGGTCAAGATTATTGTCTTATACCTGCAAGCTGTTCACTTTCGAGCATTATTTAGGGCTACGACTTCACCTGAATTCAGTGAGACTTTAACCCCCTGTGTAATTATATCAAATTGACAGCACAACACAGAGAAATCCAATAAAAGTAGTTTTGAGGAGCGATTTCGTACTTGTTGTTGTTATCCTTGCTTTTTTATACTTTTCGCGTCAAAAGCATTCTTGGTCAAGTTTACCTTGAAGTATTTCGGTTATGGTTTGAAATCTTGCTGAACTTTGTCTCGTAGTACCTTTTTTATCATTGACTTACACTTGTGTTCGTATTGTGATCATATTGTGTTTTAAACCTTCTTTTAATCTGATTACAATGGATGGTTGTGTTTATAAATGTGGGCAACCAAACTGTTTATTCCTAGTGGATGAAGGGGACGAATGTTCAAAGTGGTCCCATAAGATATGTACCCTTTTAAGTTCCACCGCGTACAAAGAATGCTCGAAGCCTAACTCGCATTGGTTTTGCACGTTTTGCTGTACAAATAAGACGTTACCAATTCAGGAGCCTATGAGCCTATTAGCTTTGGTCTGTAAGAAGAAAGATGGTTATTGTTCTGGTACTGATGACGAAGACTGCGTCAGTGTGGTAAGTGCTTTAATGAAATCTTCCAAACACCCAACTGTGCAACACGAAATTGAGCTTTCGACCCCGACACAATTATTCAGCGGTGCACCATTAGATATTGGTTGCCAAGCTGCTGCAGTAGCGACTGACGATCCTGAAGAAACAATTAACATCCCTAGCAGACCCAATGTAGATGTTGCGACTGATGGGAAATGGATGACGCGGAAACATAGAAGAGTGGGAAAAATAGCCAAAACTACTCTGCCAAAGTCTTAAAGTAAGACCTCATCAAATATTGTTGTCACTCATTCTCTCGACTCCTATGACACTGTTACACAGAAAACTAATGGTAAGATGCCAGCAGTCAATGTGCAGGATCTGACATGACGGGTGAATGCCGTGAACATGATTTTCAAAGAAGTCAAACCTCTTCCTTGTTTGATAATTTGGAGTCTAAATGAGTCGAAAGACAATCAACCTGCTAAAAGACATGCACACGATCTGCAGATAGTGAAACCTGTATTCAGAAATGTACTGCCTGAAGATGTTTCAGGGGTATATATCACGAAGGTAATATACCTCGGTAAATGAACTGGAGGAGAGATATGTAGAATTATAGTCTACTATGATATTAGTACTCTATAATAATAGACCTAATCATAAAATTGTAGGTTTGTCATGATATAACTGCCTAATCTATAAGATCTTACGTGGAAGTCACACCATCGTCTACACCAACTCACTTTATCTTAGCAATTACCAATACATGATGTAGAACAAGGTTAGGCTAGAGAAGGAACAATATATTTAATATGAAAAGAAGATATAAGGTAACATTCAGATGGACCACGCCTGCATGGCCGAGCCATGCCATTCGATCAACTCCAGTCTATTCAGTTCACTGTTCGTGCCTTCTCCATCGTTATGTATTTCTACGCGTTAAATATTGAATATCTATTTTCCGAGTCATCTCGTATTCAGCTTTGAAGATAGTTTGGTTATGGTCCAATGCCACTACAGATCCAACCAAGAAGGATCTTGAAGTTGGTATTTCGAGGAAAGACATAATATTGGATATCGCACACAAAACTGGTTATTCAAATATTCGAATCCGACCAGAATGATCGCTTAAGAATCGAATCAAGTGGAATAATGCTCTTACGGAGTTAAGAAGTCCATAGCTAGATAGTGAAACGAACCTTAAGATTAAGGGTTTTCGGGTAGAACAAATTAATCTCAAAAAACCTTAAGACTGTGCTACAGGAACGCCCGTAGTCTTCGAAATAAAAATTTCGAGCTAAGCTTGATGATGGATTAATTAAGTCTCAACAAAATTGTTGTCACAGAAACTTAGCTCACCTCAGATACAGACTGTTCTTTCATCACTGCAGATTACATCTGTATTAGAATTGATAGAGTTTTAAGTCGCGAGGGAGGAGGTATAATGATATAGGTTAGGGATCAGTTTCGAATACAATCAATCATATCGGAGGCTCATGTTAGTGGTATATGTGAAGTAGAAAGAGCACCGTGCAAAATGTTATCGTTTGTGAAATTAATTATTGTTAAATCTGTCAAAAGTAGGCCTCAATTCACAAATATCTGCCAAAGATCCTTCTCATGTAAGTGGTATATGTGAAGTAGAATGTTGCACAATGAAGTCCAGAATTGGGTTATTGACTATAGGAGGAACATACCGCAGTACGTGTTGTCTTACTGACGACTTTAACTTTGGACACATCTGTTCATGGAGTAAGGCAGAATGTAGTCTCATCATTGGAGACTTCAACGCACCACATATCAACTGGATAAAGCTTGCAGCTCCAGGTGAGGGTTTCGATAGCGACCCTCTATCAACTATTGTCCAGTGTGCACTTGTTCAATGTATCGCAAAACCGACACATATTGACTTGGAACATGACTCGTCATTGCTGGACCTTGTCCTCACACACCACTGTGAGGATGCCATCGACGTTCAGCACCTTCCCCCACTAGTGAATAGTGATAACTTTGTACTGTATTTTAAGTTTAGGACACATATTACACAATTCGTATCTGCTCCACTCCGTCCCAATATCTGGCAAGCTAATATCCCGGCAACCAGAAACTGTGCTATGTCGACTGACTGGTCGCTTAACGTGGATGGATCGATCGAAAGCAAATGGAATAAGTTTAAGACTACATTTGAGTTCGTAACATCGCCGTTTATCCCATGGCAAACACGTAAGATATCACCCGGAAGCTGTTTAAGCATGGGAAACACTTCTGGGACTTATTCTTGTCAACAGGACACGCATCATTTAAGTGTGGATGTAAAAAAAATCCGGGATATATGTAAAAAGACCATAGCTAAACCCCGTACTACTTACGAACGAAATTTGGCATATGATAGCCTTGCTTGTCCTAAACGTTGTTTTCGTATGTTAAACGGCGAACAGAACGTAGTGATGGTATTCCCCCGTTAGTGTGACACGAAAATTCAGATTTACTAGCTGAATCAGATTAGGTGATAGCTGAGACATTTTCAAGCCATTTTAGCGAAATATATTGTAAGCGTATTGTTACAACTACTTGTCCCAATCACGCCGAGATACCAGCCATCGGATCTGTACATATGACTGAAGAAACTGTTCTTCCATTGATAACTAACCTCAAACCTTGTAAGACACTGGGCCCTGACGAGCTACACCCACGACTGCTGTCATCTCTTGGGGACATTATTTCGAGACTTCTCACGACTCTCTTCAACATATCCTTTTCACTCGCCCAACTCTCTAGAGATTGGAAAGATGATATAGTCATTCCAATATTTAAGGATGGTCAGATGCAGATCGTATCTAACCACCAGCCTGTCAGTCTAACTAGCATAGTTGTCAAGTTACTTGAGAAGATAATTCGGGTTAAGTTACCAAGTCACATAGATTCACACAATCTACAATCGGTTAGATGCACTCAAGGTTGGGGCTTAGAAATTAATTTTAGGAAGAGTGTGCTCATGCACATCGGACATGGTAATAGTTACAAGTATACTATTGATGGTACATCTCTTCCGAACGTTCAAGAACATAAAGACTTAGGAGTAATAATAATTAGTGACTTGAAAACAACTACGCAGTGCAGCGCAGCTGATGTCAAAGGTTTTCGTGCACTACGGCCATTTCGCCGAGCATTCAAATGCTTTGACGAGGAAATGTTTCGTATTTTATATCCCATCTATGTAAGACTACACTTAGAGTACTGTATCCAAGCCGCCAACCCATGTCTGATAAAGGATACCAACTCATTTGAGCGTATTCAGTGCGTGGGAACAAAATTAGTGAAGGGTCTTTGTAAACTCCCTTACTGTGTGCTCTTAAAACGCCTAAACCTTTTCCCCTTGTCGTATCGTAGGACGCAAGGTGATCTTATACTGGCATTTCATATCTTTAATTATGATTGGGGTGTTAATATGTCTTATCCTTTTGCTCCTTCCAGCACTAATAATCTCCGAGGCCATAGCAAGAAGGCTCATAAACCGCGATCTAATAAACTTAAAGTGAGGTTCCGTTTTTCTCATCGAGTAGTCAAGTGGTATCATCCCCACTAGTGAATATTTTCAAGGAGGAGCCAGGCCTTCACTGGAAGGCAATCTGTTGCGATTAACATAGGTTCATCAACCTACCATCCTTATTACTGAAGACTGAAGATGTTTTCTGAAAATAACCAAATAGACTAAGAGTGACGTGTGGGTCTATTTGGATCGTACCTACTCGGAAATGAGTGTGTTTGTACTACGTAACACCGTCTATTACAACATTTTTGTTTCTGTTTTGTTTATCGCTATCAAGTTCATACCTAGTGATGGCTCTTTTCAATCTGTTTACAATTATCAGAAACCAATATTGGATTCCTACTTTCAGTTATTATCTCCGATTCTTGTAGGATCAAGATAAAAAGTTATTTTGTAATTGGAACACATAACTAACCTACAAAGCCTTAGACTCAAAATCCAAGAAACAATGCGTTCTTGATTTCAGTTTCACAAAGATTGAATATTCAGAATACTTGTGCATTGAGCAATTTCAGGTCGAAGTTTAAATGATTTAAAGTAGGTAAACAGCTGATCTCTGACGGTTGAGTATGTCAAGGCTAAGTCGTGTTGTCCAAGATATTTTGGTTATGAATACCCCTGAATTAACATGCAGGCAAAATTTACACGTTAAAGAACGGCCGTTAAGTTAAAGCTGACAAATATTTTTTCTGGAAATGTGTATTGGTTGGCTGAAAATGAAGTCATTATGCTGGAACTAAAATTACCAGAAGTATTGCACTAATTGTCGACCTGTTGTGCATGTACTAGCAATTTGTTGACTTTAAATGCATTTTTTCTGATCATTTGAGGTGTCTGAAAGGGATTCGAGCAATGTTATATATATATATATATATATATATATATATAATTGTTTCTAGGTGAAATTTCACTTCGGGAGATGACGGGGCTCACATCTTTCGTTTTATAGGGTAAAAGTTTCAAACCGAGTATGCTACCTACTTTTTCAATGATGTGATATATACGGTACTAACTAGTGTACAGTTTTTATCTCATGAGTAGATTCAGAAGCAAACATACACATTAGAACGACTAGAAACTGGTCTTATCGGCTGATTCAAGCATTTGCGGTTGACTTATGGTTTTCTATTGTTTCTGAAACGCTCACCAACCAGTGGTATGTTATTAAGTTAGACTGAATTCATCGTTTAGTTATAAAAATGTTCAGTCTAACGCACGTACTATTCCAAACTATCATACGGCGAAGAAAGTTGGCCAAACGAAAGCAAAGAAGTCCAAGTGCTCATATTTGTCATAATGGGATCTGAAGGGGTGGGGTCAACGAACCTCATTAATACTTCTAAAGTATCTAGAATCAAATATTAGAAGTTGACTCATATCTACTCCCCTAAACCATGTTTCACAACTTCAGAGCAATACAGAACGCACTGCTGTGCTTTGTATTGGCCCGATAAGTAAGAGGCGAATCTCACCTGCATAAATGGACCAAAGACGAGAGAGTATTTTATCCACTTCTTTCAGGTTATCATTAATTGTCCGTAGTTTTTGGTTTAGCGGGAACTACTATAACGAATTTGTATCGTTTGTGTTTTTTATTCATAACGGAACTAAGTATTTTGTAGGAATTAAATCTCTTTGAAGATGCTTATTATGTGGGTGCGTCACCTGGTATTTTTTAGAAATGACACTAAATAATCATTCCATTTGTTATACGATGCGATTCAGTCAATGCATTCGAAAGTTGCATTTGGTTGTGCTGAATATTACAACTGTTGGAATTTAGCATGTTTATCACATCTTCAAATGTATAGATGATCGTTTCAGTATAACCTTATCGAATAACAGTTTATTTTGGACCGGGACACATCAGTATTGTGTAGTCGTTGCCCCTTGATTTCGCGAAGATCGATACATATTGACGCAGCAACGACATACATTCTGGCAATAAAAGTTTGATTTGTCCCACGTATTACGTAACTCTGTAGGCTAAAGTGTTTCTTACCCGATCTAGGTCAATGAGTAGAAAGATTGGTTGAAAATACTTATACTCTACATAAAATAATTAACCTTTGTCGAGCTATGGTACGACAAGTGGTGTAATTTGGCCTCCAAATTTGAGCCAAGTTCTGGATTTTTATTACCGTCACACCAGTTTGTCGACTGTAATTTGACCTGCAAGAGTAATCCTCGTAATTGATTCTTGAATGTGTTGTTTCTGGTTCCACATCAAGATAACTTTGAAAACCAAATGAAGATAGCCAGATATCGTTTTCATTAGCAGCAAAAATATGTTGTACGAGATAGACAGCTTCGTAAAAGTAGAAATTTCCGCGTATATTTAGGCGAAAATTAGACAATTCAGCGACATGAGGGAGAGAGCCGCAAAAATGGGGAAATCCCCATTATTTCGCACGGAGATGCGAAAAAGCAGACATTTTGGCGCGTTTCGCCTTTGTTACTTCATTGTGGTATATATAATACTTTGCAGTATTTAATAAGTAAAATAACGTTTAAGGTGATATTTATTACTACAACAGTTTGCGTTTTTGTTGTAATAATTCATTAGTAATAGTCATTTGTTTCTTGCATATTTCATGCCTGGTATTTGAATCTTGATAATTTGGTATGATTTGACTAGTACATGAGCACTGGTATTCAGTTGCTGGTCATAGTATTTGGATGAATGTTCGCCTGAACTGATCTGACGAATGAAGTGTACAACGTTTCTACATAAATTAAGTCGATACCGACGTTATAAGTAGAAAATAGTAATGATTGATGAGGTCGTGATGTATTTCTTTTTTCAGTTTCTAATAATGTATCACATACAATTTTCCCTAGCATAACCCTCTGATCTCCTGTAGGATGTTGAAACGCCGAAATCTGTTCAATTGGTTCAGTTCAAACCTCAATTGTGTTACATATGTAAATTCAATCCATTCAGTTGTCTGTGCAATATCGGGCGGTGTAGACAGTGCTGTATCTGCATATCTTCTCAAAAAGAAAGGTAGATTACTTTTTACAAAGAATTTGTGCATTACTTCAGGATTTCAAGTCAAAGGTGTATTTATGACTAACTGGGATTCCTTGGATGAAAATACGGACTGTTCCTTAGACAAAGACCGTCAAGATGCTCAGTTTGTTTGCGATCATTTGGGGATACCTTTTTTCGAGAAAAATTTTGTTAAAGAATACTGGAATTACGTGTTTTTGTAAGTGTTTCATTTCTCCATACGGATTATCATAATACCGGTTATTTCACTTATTTAGACCGCTTATCAAGTCCTATGAGCAGGGAGCTACACCAAATCCAGATATATTGTGTAATAGATTTGTAAAATTCAATTTGCTAACAAGGGCAGTGTTAAAAAGCAAGAACCAATGCGCTGATGATGACGGTCAAGCATCTTCAAATTTGGCTGCAGATGCGATTGCCACTGGCCATTACTGTCAGAATTCTTTTGGAAATTATCTGCAATGCCGAAAGGACAATATTGAAGCCAGATTATTACGTTCTGTTGATAGAGTGAAAGACCAGACATTTTGGCTATCGACTGTAAGAGTTGATGGTGATCCTACGATACAGACATAAATTATCTGCCTTTCGTTTAACACAGAAACAGCATTTGTGTTTTAGCACGATGATTTAGAAATAGATTAAGTATGATCGAAGATCAGCTAAGTAGAAATAAACGTTTCCGTAAGGACACTTCAATGTGACCTCTTTTCTTCTTTACTTAGTTAAAAGTGGAACTCAATATTCAAAATATGGTTTACTGATAATGACAAATTTCAACTGAAGAAGTAATAGGTTGCTAGCGTTAAAACCCAGTGCGGAAGCACTGGATTGGTGTGGCTACTTAGTTGTAATCAGTTTGTTACAAAATTTATAAATGAACAATTATTTTTATGGTCTTCGGACATCGATTTAAATAGAACGCCAAATCGGTTTTGTTTATTCTGAACGAGATATTTTTTCCGTTCAGTTTGATCCAATGTAATCTAATATTGCTGAGTTATTAGATATTAAGACAAACAACTTTTTCAATGTCAGGTTTTCCTTTTCAAGCAAGTTTGATATTACTGTGTAGTAAAAAGTATTATCAACTAACATGAAGTATTTCAGAAATACCTTAATTGCTTATCAGCATTTACCTATCAAGTCAACTTTCTGTTAGTATCAGATATTCTTTCATCTAGTAAAGAACAAAGTTCACTGTCAGTGTATTATAAAGAATAAGTAATTGCAATGCTCCCTGTGGTCGCTGATTCACACTACTGAAAAGTCTGGTACTAGAACGAAAAAGTTGTTCGTTGTTACCTAGATTTAGTGGTACTCTAACTAAGGTCAGTCTGTGATGTGAACCACAAAATGATGATGTAACAGTGATATATTATTTGTTCATGTCCTAGAATGCTAGCCACACTTATCGTTCAACAACTGGTAATTTCATTTGTTTGTCCAAATATAAGATTGGACATTAGAACTTGTGATTCATATAATAAGCACAAGTTAACGTGCTCTGATGCGATAACTGACTCAGTTGTGGGAACACCTAATGATGCCACTAAGCTTTCGAATCTGTGAGCTACTGATTGAAATCCAAATGATTTCATCACTAAGCTCTTACTTCACAACAGTAGCACTCTAATTTTTCATACCGGCAGTATAACATCTCATCCAGGAATTGAACCTAAGTCTCTTCAGTGCTAACCAAGGATTCTCATCACTTGACTGGATAATTAAACTTGTGGTGTATCTAATATGAATTTTTTTACTTTAATCTTCATCCTAGATTTCCCACAAAGAACTTCCATACTGTATGTTTCCAGTTGGAGATCTATTAAAAACCCAAGTGAAACAAATCGCTCAAGATATTGGCCTTTCTCGTATATACTCCAGACGTGAAGTATGTTTGTTATGTGGGTTTATTTTTGAACTCTTTTCATTGTTTGCTCAATATTTCTAACTTAAAAAATTTACAACTATTAGTAATAACTAAAAGGATATTGATTTATTCTTTTAATCAACTTTTAGAGAATATACACCTAATTATTCCATTTGATTGATAAAAGTTCTCTTACTTGAATAATTATCATTAAAGTTTCCTTAATTTTAATTTGAACATTTGAATTATATCGTACATTCAAAATGTTACCTTTTATTCTGTGAAGTTGTAGTTTTTCTCATAACCATTTTATTCTTATTTAGTAAGCAAGTTCAAAGTCCCAGGATTTAAACCATACTTTATTTTATAAGTGTCCTGGGAATATCAACCGGCTTATAAAATTAAATTGGTTATGCTTTCCCTTTTTTATTAACATAAAAACAGATCTGAACATCTGAGTGATAATAATACAACAAGCATTCCAAAAAACCCGGTTGAGAACACTATAGTAAAGCAGAATGATGAAATTAAACATAAAAATGTATGTGTAAAATACAAAGGATATATGTGTCAACTATAATTTCATGTACTGGACCTTAAGTTAAAGTTCAAATGTGAGGCCTAGTGACACTATCTGGCTGCTCCCCCCTACTTACTTCTGCTTGGGCAGCCGGGTCGTATCAATGGCTGTCACAAAAATAACGTAGTCCGAAACCGACTAGACTAGGTTGTATTTTGTGAGTGAGTTACGTTAATCAATTAAACTTATCGGCTAAATCGCTCACCAGTTTTTAAACGTATGTTCGTCAGCTACAGTCATTCGAAACGAAATCGTAATCTACTATATTTAGTATAACGTTAAGAGTGGTCGACTCGAACTGCTATAAGTAGCCTTCATACTTATCAGCCATCATTAGAAACGTATATGTAAAGAGTTCAAGAGACTAATGTCAGTTTCAGCAATTACATAGTCTGTAGTAACAAATTAATAGCAAACTATTAGTATAAAGGTTTTGCGCAGATTATTATATTTTAATAGATTAATTCACCGATTATTCTTAGACTATCATTGAAAATCGGGGAGCTCTGGACAGCTGTTTTGTCCTATTATGAGACTCAGCAGCGAACAGAGGTCTAGAGGCTAAGTGCTCGTTCGCCAGATTGAAGGTCCTGAGTTCGACCTTAGGTGTCAGGGTCTTAAATGCTCACTTTTGAATTCTCATACTAGGAAGAAACAACTGTCAATGGTAGTCTAAATAAAATCAATCTGTGATTTGGTCCATAAAGATAAACAATTAGTCTTCATCTGTTTGTATTACTTCAACTTCTGTCTCAAGATACAACCTCGTATATAAAATTCATATAACTGGTTCCCTTTACGCATTGCAAGAATGCTAAAACATCAGTTGAGGCAGAATAATATGGATTCATTTTGTTTCGTGGTTTCTCACAAGCTGCTTACAACCATATTCGTATAAGAGTGTAACTTTGCGATGTAATATAATTGACATTAATGATTCAGAATTAGGAGAACAAAGATATATATATATATATATATATATATATATATATATATATATATATATATATATATATATATATATATATATATATATATATATATATATATATATATATATATATATATATATATATATATATATATAATGACTTTTCACTGAAGTAACTACTATGAATTTAGTGTTCATCATATTGTGCTAATAAGGTATGGCAACTTGGACCGATGCATATATGTGCCTGGTCTTACGTTGTGGATAACTGACTGATTCAACCAAATGATTATTAAACGTATTTATACAAATATCTACCAATCTGTGTAAATTCATGTCTCTTACAGATAAAATACGATCGTTTTATTTTTCTAACCATCACTTACTATTTGTTTATTTATTTTAGAGTATGGGAATGTGTTTTATTGGTAAAAGGCGGTTCTCAGAGTTTATTGATAATGTAAGCCGTATATTTATTTGTTTCATTTTTCCACAGATTTTATAAATTGAAATTTCTTTTCGCATTAAATCAGAATGAAATATCTTAATCTTGAATCGTTGTACTGTACCCATATAATCTTAATACATATTTTCAACAACCGTGGTAGAAAAATATGAATTCATTTATTCCACAAATCCCTATTTAGCTACTTACAACATAAATATAGACTTTTAGGTACGGAGATTATATCCCGTGGGAAGTTCAGCAAAGGTGAAATAGGTGTCGGAAATTATACTATAATAGTCACTATCCAAAATATCTTATCTAAATACGTTTATATTAATTGTTGAAACAAGCCAATGTGAGTATTTCATATCACATTTCTCGGTCTGAAACAAGGTTAAATATGATAACATAGTTAGTTAGCTTAGTAAAAAGTAAAAAATGTGAAATAATTCCAAAAATTGTTTACAAGGTTGATTATTTGTGGACTAAGTATATGAATATTTTAGAACAGAAGACCGACAATTGTATGAAGATGAGTTTCGGGTAGCAAAATACTAATATTATAGATTCACTTGTATTGGTTGCGTGAATCTTCCCGTTGACATTATGAACTACAATCGATCAATCTCTTTTGGCGTATGTACATTCTGTAGGGACTAATTATATATTGCCATTAAATAACAATTATTTAAGCAGAATCGACTTATGGCTAGTAGTGGAACCCAGGACACGCGTTTCGTCCAGTTTAGGACTCGTCAACTAGATGCACTTGTACCCTTATTGGAGTTTCAGTGCAAACGTCAATACGGGTGCAGGTACATCCAATCTGCTTTTATATCATAAGCCATGTAATACCAAGTACAAAACGGGTGATAAGGGGGTAAAATAGGTGAAGCTCTGATAGGTAAAAGAAGGGAATTTACACTTAAGCGCATGGGTTAAAATATTAGTGATGGAAGACTGAGGCAAAATCAAATTATCCAGTATCAAAAATAATATCCTTATGAGTACAAAAATCGCGCTCCAAACTTTTGATCGCAACACCTTCATTCAGATATAATAAATGTGAACTCCTTTTACTTACTAGTTATCTTAAAAATATTTATGACGTTCTCTCTACTGAGAATTATTCTAAATAATTTGTTCTATTCTTCGGTTTGTACGTAGTCCCCAACTATCGAATCAAGAGGACTAAGCTGTATATCAGTGACGTGGTTGTCAAAGCATGCAACCTAAAAGTTGCATTTTCGAACGTCACCACCTACCTCTGTTTGTTGTGCAGTCAATTTTCCGCTTTCTATCCTCATCTAGGCGATGTTTCAACTACACAAACTTGAATAATTAATATTTTTGTTTGGTAATCATTCTCTTTTTTTCTGACAATATTTTACAAATTTACCTTAGGTAAAATTGAGTGGCTTAACAATTAAAACACTTAACATCTGACCAGTAATAATGGGTTGAAGGCTCAAGTCTTGTTCACTTAGAGCTGAACACATAAGCCTATATGTGGTTACCGAATTGCATTGATTAATTAGTTTGTACCATCACAAAGTCAAATGCCATGGTTCAAATATTAGCTCGGATCTGGGTACTGGCCAGTCTTTATGCTCTGATCAATGTTAATGTGATGATCGTGAATAGTTACTCCATAGATATGTAATCAGTATCATGTTATTTAGTATAGTCTCCAATGTTAACTAAATACTGTCGTTTTTATTCTTAGACTTATTTAAATATAATTGTGTAACTCAGTCGTCTAGACATTTGACCAATGTATGTGTTGTATCACACCACATAATACTGTTGTATGCTTTTCTTACCACTCCAACTACTTTTTCATTACTTCAAATTTTCTCGTATTATGTAGTATTTGGAACCAAAGCCTGGCGTTTATAAAGATCTTGAAACTGATCAAGTTTTGGAAGAGCATACAGGTAAGCATACAGGCTTTCTTACTTTTGAATCGACACAATAATTCTTGTGACCAGTGGTTAGCTGATTTTCCTACTTGGCTGCATATCAGTTAAAGTAGTGGAGATGCATTCATTTATTTATATCTTCTTTTATTCCTTGATGATTATAATAATCGGTTGTAAACTTAAAGTTTTTGCCCCTATATTTTGCTCTCCCTTAGTATTGTTATGATTATCTCCACTAAATTTCTCTTCACATCTTGTTGTGTCTGTGTGAAGGAGTGGCGTGAAGGAAGTTAAAATAAAGCATCTCTTTGTTTCTGGACCCTGTGTTGCCTATATTATTTGCCATAGCCGCCCTGTTTTACAAAGATACACACACGTGCGCACTTCGGTACCATATACTACACATTTATATATATACCACTCTAATCCTTTGGAAATTGACCCATTTCTTAATCAAATGCACTTGTCTTTTAGGTCGCTTCCTATTGCCATTGATTGACCTTCTGATTGGCTCTCGATTTCACACAACACTGTTTAATGCTATTATACAGTTGGAAAAGTCGTATTTTGTCCAATTATTAGTAATAAGCTTGTTAGGTTGTCATAGGATAAACAACAAAACTGACTTCTCTTAGATTTTCTCCTTAAAACAACCATAAGCATTACTCAATGATATACTCGTCTCAGGGAAACTAGATTGTTTTACGTAGAATTTTTTTCATATTTAACAAATATGATGTTATTTTGTTTATCATGACTTTCCTCTATAACATCGAGATTATTAACTCTACTTGATCTTCGCTTCTTCTCTCAAGGTGTACATCATTTTACTTTGGGTCAACGAATTCCTATTAAACGACTTAATGGACCTTATTATGTTAGTAAAATGGATTGTCACAATCAAATAATTTATGTAGTGAGTAAAATTCCTCTTGATGTCTTTGTTATTCATATTTTTCAATATCAGGCAAATTGAGCTGTTATTTTGAATCGATCTAAAAACCACAACCATTGATCGAAGCTTTTTTGTGTTCAAGAAGATATTTTCATAATGATGTTAATACACGTAGTATTTACGATTAACCGATCTCTGAGTAGTGAGTAATATCATGTTTGCCTAATCCAATAGTGCATATCGTATTCTGTGGATCAAGTTGTAATGTGGTCAGTAGTCTAGGTAACTCGACATTGGGTGTACCATGTTGAGATGTAAGGTGTTTGTAGGTAGTAGATTGAATACCTTGAGTTCGTATTAGTTAGTACTCGTTAACAAGGCGTACCTGCAACTCGCTGGGATTTGAAACCTGCGTAACCCTGCTCCCTAGTCTGAGACGTTAACATGACCATTCAGGAGACTTTTGGTGTTTGTCTCATCAAGCCAGTCTGTTACATAATGTGCTGCTAAAGGTAATAGCTTTGACTTTTTGAAAAACCTGGGGATTCTGTAGTATGTTTTAAACACCTGTATAACATAGTCCTATGTAATAAAGTCTTGCAGATACGGCCGTGAATGCAAGAATGCTTTGCCGAACATCAAACGAGATAATGTGATGCCTCGTATGATGATCGCCTCATTGATATGACATACAAACTGTAAGATTAAATATCGATAAGGTTTTAACACAGCATCTATTAGCCTATTTTAATCAGTCAGTCATAAAATCTGTCATATTTATGTCGGTTCATGTTGCCAGACCATATTAGTACAGTGAGATGAAATCATCGAAGCAAATGCCAGAGTGGTAGAAGTAGTAACAATATTAGGTTTCTTTATTCAAATGTATGTTCAGGTTTTACTATTTAGATTATTTATATAAAGTTCACTCAGAAATTAATCAAGTTCGGTTTAGAAATATGAACGTTATGAACAGGGACTCACCAGAAAAATTTGTGGTGGGTCAAACAAATTTAAATGAGATAAATGGTTAGGCTAGTTTGATCACACGTGTAAAATACATCAAAAGTTGATATTAAAACGAATTGGTAAAACAAGTAGTTTCGTGTGTATTCTAAAATGATGTGTTGAAAGAGTTCAAATCTCCACAACTTTTAAGTCTAGATAAATAATTCCAAGTAGAATAACTTCACATTTACTTCTAAAAGATCGAGAGATCAGTCTGTAAGAACATCAATAAAGTTGTAAGCGGTCAGTTGAAGGTAAAAAGTGAGTTATTAAGCGCGGTTTATTTATGAGCAGTAGTGGATCGAGTGTATTCATACCCATAACTCAACATTTGTTGTAGGTGCACCATCCCGAAATATTGACTCAAGGTGAATTCGAGTTGAGCTCTTAATGCATTTTTTTCATTACGACTTGTATTCAGAGACAGTTACCAAATTTGATAAAATTCTGTAAAGTCATTTTGGTCTATATATATATCTCATTAATTTTATTGTTCTGGTGTCTTGATCAACAAAAAAACCCGTACACAGACTGTGCTTCTCACCCTAGTTAGCTGAACAGTGAAGAAGTAGTTTCATTCATTGTATTGAAGTTGTGAAATATTAGCCTGGTGCACGAACATACCGACGTTATAATCCAAACGAAATATTTCATAATCAGTGATCTACAACCTGAAAGAAATTTTAAGCTTAGAAACATTACCAAATATATTTACAAATTAAGCTTCTCATACCATCTGTACACTATTGACCATAAAATGATAGTATTACTGCGATTGTAACCTTCGGGATCACTAATTATTTGCTTGCATTTACATGTATTTTAGGTACGTGACCCAGCCCACCCAAGTTTGTTTATGCGTAAGTGTTGGTGTGGTCCTGCAGTTTGGATAAACTCTGAGCCATTTTCATCTATAAACTCGAGGAATATTCAATTCCAGTGGCAAAACAAATGGCGTCCAGTTAACTGTATTTTAAAACCTTTCAGTGACATATCTTTGGCGTCAGCTTACCTTAGGAAATACATGAAGCGATGTCTTTCTAGCTCAGACAATGCAACACTCGCCAGTGTAATCGATGCATCCATTGAAGATAACAGAGAGGTTGGACCATGTTTATCAATTGAATTAGAAGTGCCAATGCGTTGTATTGCACCGGGACAATGGTGTGCATTTTATGATAATGACATATGCTTAGGTGGAGCAATGATATGCGGTTCAATAAGTCTTTGGGAAGAAGGGCAAAACACTTCATATCATGAGTGGAATCATGTCGACTACGAATTGACATATGGTTAAATTTAAGAACATCTATCCCTTTTAAATTTGTAAATAGTTTAGGAGACTATGAGTCGGTCAGTTAAAGTTTTTTACAAGTTGCAACAATAAATGATGCTGACTTATTATTCTATTTGTTATTTGACGAACTTCTAAAATGAATTAGAAATGAGCCAATCTACTCATAGACAACATATGTGAAATACTTAACGCAACATTATCAATTGCAGTAAGACATGATTCTAAAATCAAGGCACAGGTTTTTGAAGTGTTTAGGGTGATAGAAAAAAAACCAATAAGGATCCTCCTTACCGGAACGGTCGGAATTCGTCAAAAATGACTCACTTGTATGAAGCAAAAACATTACTAGTGAATCACGACAATAAGGATTACTAAATGTTTACACAAGTCATGTTTTGAAACGTGATTTTTGTCCCAAGCTGATGATTGATTTTCCTGGGAATGAATTCTTAGAAAATCAGCATTAGTGGTGTTAGACCAGTCACATTCTACGAAAATCCAGATTTGTAGATACGATGGCTTGCTTCCGTGTTTTGACTGAAGGTAACAGATATTTAACTCAAATAAACAAGTCCATTTAAAACATTCATACGATCTCAAGCTTAGTCTGTTGCTTTATAACGAACTGGTGACTCATAAGAATACAAACAAATATTTTGACGACGTACTCCAAAGTAAAGCAGAAATTGTCATTATGGAGTTGTGGGAATGGCGGAATTTCATTGAAATCACACTGATTTAAGTTGAATATGTAAGCACCAGACAGCCTTTCCGTCCTAGTGTGGGATTGAGTAGTGCGGTTTCGCGACTTTGCGAGCGAGGATCGAACCCAATATCTTCGGAAATCTCCTCATTGGTCTAGAAGTCAAACATTCGATCTTCAGTGGTGGTGCTGTGGATGCGCGCTTGTGATGAGTCCCATACCCGAACGAAACAGTCATTCAGTGCTTTCAAATTTTTAATGGCTGTTTAACTCAAATCAGTTCTTGATTTTAATGAAAAAGCACAAATTACTAGTTTCATAGTCAGCTATCCTAATCTATTGTCTTTTCAAAAACCTTCCTGTTGCAAATAAAAATCCTCTAGAAACAAATTACATGAACTAAAGTCATTTTATTCAATGTCGTCACTAAAAACTAAAACACGGTACAAAATAAAATGATCAATGTAGTGTTGCGTAACAGTAAACTTGAGTAATGTGAAGGATTTTTTTTCAAGAATAAGTTGACCTCAATTTTTTTCTTCATTTAACTCGTTCCGATATTTACAACTTTTTCTTTTAAACTTTCAAAGACGGCAATCATTATTGCAGAAGCGCTGGTTGTTTTAATTATTCTAGGTGTGAAACCTGTGAAAAAGTCAATAAAAAAAGTGTATGAAATATGTGATGCGACTAAGTAGTTTATGTACATGATCAGTGGTATTATTAACAAAATATCGCAAAACTGAAATTTCATAATTAGTGCAACAAATTAGTTGGGAATAAAAGCATGAGGGATTCAGATGTATTTGTATGTACAGACGTATGAAATCATACAGTTGAAGACTTGTATTAAATAAATAAGTAATTTTCACTTAACAATACTATGATGTGAGACAGGATTGTCACTCGGTATGATAAGCGTCTGACTGATGTACCTAATCATTTTCACAGTCGGATTTACCTTTGTGCTAGCAGGATATCGATCGTATGTAAGCATGTTTCATGTTGGGGCACGCTGATTGTTGACTATTTATCAACAAGCATTAAACTTCAATGTTACTAAGATTTTTAGTGCCAAATTCTTAGTCTGCTAAACTGTATTCACATAAGCATAATATCTTCAGAATGCAATTCAATGGCATTGATGAGTAAAATTGATATTTTTATTTTGTACTGAAAATAAATGCGATCCTGTCAACTAATACTTACCAGAAAACAAGGCAGGAAGACCATTTTTAATATACAAATTATGTAGTAATGTCCACGTTGATGTTGGGTGAAGATGATCTACGTTTAAAGGATTATAGAAAAACGTAGTTTAGTTGGTTGGCAAAACGAAGTTAGAATTTGTCTAAATGTGTTAAGTAATGTGGCTTTCATCATCTGAAGAAAAAACAGATAATCAAAAGTTGAATTTATGCGTCAATCAGAAACAATCCAGATCCTTATATTTGCTTACCACTAAAAAAAATCTGAATGGAAAATCAATATGACCAACTCAACTATTACCAATATTGAAGCTGAAAGCTGCATAGTTAGTCTGAATGGGAGGAAGCAGTTTCATTCGATGTAATAACTTCGAAGATTTTTGTGGATGGTCAAGTTTCGGCATTCAGATTGACTGAAATGTTAGCTAGATTTTGGGGACTAAACGTGATACATTCTGACTGGTCTCAATTGATGATCATCCAAGCTTAGAGGAAAGGGTTAAATTCTCTTGTGATGACCACAGAAGGATTGATTTGACTGAGTGTTTAAAATGTTAGTCTAAGTAATAATTCAAAGCTTAACTAAAGCTCGTGAACGGCGAAATGAGACTATTTCCCGACCCGGACATGAATCTAACGATCAATATGCGCCCTTCATTAGGTTTTAGAACATGAACATAGTTAATGACGTCCGGCAATAATTGTATTTGTTGACTGGTAGGCAGGATATGGCTTCAACTGAGGTTTTTGACAGTGTATATCACTAAAGGGTTCACTGAAGCACGTAAACTATATGAAGTTTCTTTTTTCGAACAATATTTTCTTCCAAATTGTCAACTTCAAGTGTTTTTCGTCGGTGCTACGTACTATCCCCATTTTATTTAACTCCAAAACAGACATTCTATTTAGAGATAACGCTTCTGTTGTCCGACTTTTCAGGAACTGATCTAATAAGAGATTTTGTTCTTGACATAGACTGTGGAGATTTCATAATTTTGTTTAGTGAGGGGTGCCATTGTTGATAATGACTGACATGCTGATAGACCTTCTGAACACCTTAAGTAACAGTGTAAACAGGGTTGAAATGCGTTTATCCATTAAAAATAAAGTTACATTAGGACTAATTTACACCAACAACCAGACGCTATAGGGGATGAAATATTTCGGCTGGTCGAGCACTATACTTATACTCAAAGTCTAAGCCCTGATGGTTCGGTGTTTGACTCATTTTTGCATCACTTAGGGGGTGAGGAAGACAACCGTCTACCAACCAAATGGTGTGTAATGTGCAGCAGTCAGTTTTATATTACTTAATGGCAACGAAGATAGAGAAATGCGTGGGTCGCAGGTTTCTGATTATGTATTTATCTTTGAAGCGTTGCTCATGTACTGTCGAACAACCGAATAAGAAATTGTGAGATCAAATCACTAGTATTGTAGCTCTTCTAGGGCTACTGCCTGTCCCAAGACCACGTAAGGGAGGGTTGGGAGTGTGGTCGATAACCACATCCCGTAGAAAACAACCTTGCTAAAAAACTAACCAGAATACAATTTAAACTGTCCTGGAAGTTGAAGAGAGAATTATGATGCCACATGTCGAAAGCCGAGATTCATAGGATGTTACGAGGCTGATTCCGCTTCTAACAACCAGAGCAACAAATAATATAAGTACATGGAATCAGCGAAACCCGTTGGACCCTACTTACTTACGCCTGCTACCCGCAGTGGAGCATAGGCCGCCGACCAGTATTCTTCAACACACCCTGTCCTTGGCCTTCCTAGTTCTGTCCAAATGTTGTTCATCTATTTTTACGCGTAATGTGTTCTTTGGTCCTCCTCTTCTGATTTGGCTTTGAGGTTTCCAAGTGATGGCTTGCCTTGTGACGCAGCTGAGTGCTTTCCTATCCATTTGACTGGAATACGAAGACTTCGATATATGAGGGAGAGCACAGAATAAAATGCACAGCTTGCATGTAACTAGACGACTTGGACTTTGCGGAAAATCTGGCCCTTCTCTCTCATACACACCAACAAATCCAGACGAAAACAACTACTGTAGCAGAAGCCTCTTCAGCAATAGGCTCCAACATACACAAGGGAAAAACCAAGATCCTGAAATACAACACAGAGAACACTAACCCAATCACAATCGATGGAGAAACTCTAGGAAATGTAGACGTAAATGTGAAGATTTATAAAACAAGGACCGCGTTCTTACAATGGAATAACGTATGGAACTCAAAACTCAACCAACATCAAAGTCAGAGTCTCCAATACGAACGTCAAGACAGTTTTACTGTAAGGAGCTGAAACTTCCATGACTACTACAACTATCATCGAAACAGTACAAGTATTCATACGTAACTGTCTATGCAAAAGATACTCAACGTCTGGTGAGTGGATACCATCAGTAACAGCCTACTGTAGGAGAGAACAATCTAGCTTCCATCTGAACAGGAAATTATGAAAAAGTGGAGGGTGCTGGTAGATGTCCTATGTTCCTCCATGAGGGGTACCAGGCGTAAGTACTACAAGAATATTGCAAATTGGTTGGTGAGATAGTAAATGTTCATCGATTGAGGCTGTCTGGACCAAACACTGTCTATCTAGAAGTGCAATATTAGTTGGTGTAAGAGTAGGTTCGAAAAATATCAGGAGTAGCCAAATAAAAATACGAGATTAATCCAAGAAGTTATTGACTGTCGCACTAGGCCACGTTGGTTCGAGTTCACGCAACAACAGCGATTAGTGACTGTAGACGTTGTATAAAATGGCTTAGATAGAAGAAGAAATAACAGTACAAATGGATTGTATCCCTATCTTCCCCTAAAATTCGTGTTTCAGTATTCTTTCATATAAACCATCTTACTCCGTTTTCTCTAGTCGTATTTCCAATGTTTAGTTTTTCTATCATTGATACCACAGTTATTTCGATTCGATCGAATCGCATTATTCCAGATTGGGCATTTTCACTACTTTCTTCTCAATAGACTAGCAATGACATGTTACTCTTTATACTGCATTCACAAAAGATTTGCTAAGCACACACAATTTAATGCTCGTAACGTTTTGCTAACTTGTCAGTTCTGTTGGAGTTCTATTGGAGTGTTGCTGATATAAATTACAGATAAATTCGAACGACTTTTGTGCACAAAACTAATATACAGGCCGATTGTTTGATGAACTTACTAAATGAAAACGAATACTTTCCGAAATCAACTTGTCTGTGAGTTTTAATCACATCGAATGGATGTGTTAATACGCCAGAAATCTGAAATTTAAGAATATCAGAAGAAAACAATTAGTGTTTGCATGAGATATACAACGATTTCGAGGTTACAATGGTGATATGATATATATTATACACGAGAAATCGAATTAATCATTTGTAGGAACATTACATGTGAGAGATTCGATAGAAACAAGTCCTTTCATAGTACTGATTTTTATTTACATTGTCGTAGATTTAAATCTATAGAAAAAACCGAATCCTTTCACTTAAGAAGCTTAATACACAATGGTGTAGGTGGGTTCTATAATTGACGTAACTTTTAGTTTGGTTTTTGAGGCTTTTCCCTGATGTCAAATCACAAATGCTTAACATTTTACTGATTTAACGATAAAAAAGAGGAAATTTTAATAAAAGATTACAGACTTTACAATATTAACTATTTGTTAGTATAATTAAAAATACTTGAAAAAATCTTTATGTTACTTGATTAAAATGCCAATATGTGATATAATTTGAACTTATCAGAATCTCAATCTATTATTTTTGTGTGCTAAACTATGTTAGATGTTTCAGAGAAAAGTCCATGAGAACTTTATGGGCTAATGTAGAAACCTAAGTTTGTAATAAATCATATTAATTTGGGAAAGCTGAGAAATACCTGGTATTCCTTGCATATATATAATATTTCTTTCAATGAATTTGAAATCAGTAAAATTTATGAAATTCTCTGTTACACGATGTGCATCTACATTCAACTATACTGTAAATAGCATCGAGAATGAAACAAACAATTTTAAATATGTTTGTCCAGCTGTTTTTCTTTAGCCCATAAATTTATTCTCCACATTATAAACCAACGTTTGCATGAAATAAAGAAACAAATATTAAATAAATGACTTACAAAACCAGCAGCTGCTCCAAAACCAAATGCATGCGAAAAGTGAATTCTGTCAAATGTGACAGGCAATTCACTATTCGACAACAAATGCGTTCTTATCTGTTTATTTATAAACCCAGATTTCATATAGTCGTAAGTTAACCAAAATACCATAGAATAAGGAACATCACGTAACAGAGTTGGTCCAGCACCTAACCACAAACTTTTCAAACCATCCTTAGTAATAAACAATATGTCAAAATAGTTGATTTAAAATTACATTTACGAAATGGCTTTAAAAGACTACCGAAATCTGATTACATAAAAATCTTGTTTAAAGTAAAAAAAATTCCATAAGCTATCTTAACCGACAATCTATCATGGAACTGAACCGCTCTAGTAGAGGTATCACTATGACGAGAAACTAAGAAACTACAACTAAAATAAACTACCAGGATCCCAGTATCATACGAATGGAGATTATATTCTACTAAATTACTTATAAGCAACGTTTATAGCTGCTACGAGAAGGGGTAGGTTGATTGTGAATACAGTAGTCTTGAGTGCTGTTAGAGGTATGAGAGCGGTTATCACTTCCCGGTTGCCCACACCGTGGAAGGGTTCTTCTGGAGGTACCTGAAAAAGAAATCGGATTAGAGGTGGTCTTAGTGACATGAGAGCGTGACCGCAGTGCCCAAGGAAAAACTGCTTGAGGTCGGTCACACAAGACCTTGTTACAAGTATTTTTGTGTTAGCTCCGTACTTGTTGAGACCTTACCACCGGAGACAAATAACTGCGGAATAAGGCGAAGTGTGCATTTTTAGGGTCGATCTTTTCTAACCCCACCTCTCCTTGTGGGAAGGCAGCATCACTGTTGTGCTGGTTGTCTGAAAGAAACATCTTACTGCTGTCACACCTTTATACAGTCAGCAGTACAACTTCGCCTTCGAACCTTGAGTCTGTTGCTTTTAGCCATGCCGCTGTCCAGCCGACCTGTCTGACATGGTAGGACCTTGAGGAACGGTTGTTGCAGCCAGTATAGCTCGGTTGCTTCATCACGACGGGCAAGTCCGACCACCACAACAACGGTCGGGAACTGAATTCAAAAGTCGTATCATATCCTAAGTACGAAGTCTAGTAGTTGAAGTTCTTGGGGTTCAACTAAAATGTCTTGGATTTCAATCACACTCCAATTATTTAGGATCACAGAGCCGACTAGTGTTACAAGCCCTCACATAAATATTGTATTTGAAAAGTGAGTATATGAACTTGTACCTATTAAATGAGTTATAATAATTAATTTCGAATTAAACCTATGAGTCTTAAAACTCAATAAATCGTTAACTGAACTGAATACACCAATTTGTATGTGGATAGCAGGTTGGTTAACCTTATTTCTGTGCAGCTGTTTACATGTCTCTGATAATGCATTTACAGAAGACTGCTATAAACCAAGAAATGTTACCAATTATCAAATTTATCTTATAGTATAACAAAACACAGCAATACCTGTTTCACTGTTGTAACAACTAACGATGTTATATCACGGTAGAGTACTTTCCTAGCTTGGATTTTTGTACGTAACAATTCTATTGGTGATACAGCCATTACCGCGAAAATTCGAGACACACCTCCAACTAATGGAGGGAGGAAATCTTTAGGGGAGATGAAGTTTTGGAAAGATCCACTTGTCATTACTGGTAATTTGTTGACAGTCTTAGAAGTATATCCAACATGATATTTCAGCCAATCATTGACAGTGAAGTAGATAACAGTTTGAGGAAGTGTCATAACACTGTAATTATAAAACATTAGTCAACACAATTCTAACTTACAGTGTCGGGGAGAGTCCACTCCAAAGAGATAAAATACCTTCATTACGAATAATTCTGAGGACGATATCCTTTAGAGAAAATTTTCATGATAAAATAAAGAATTTTTTAATAACAAAGAAAATAACCAACATTTTACATAGGGTCGATGTTTGAATTAACCAATAAAAAACAACTTTCCATCACTGACCACAATGAAAAAACGAGTTATCAAATAAAGAAGTCATTGACTTTTTGGATCACATGTTAAGTGAATAACCCCTTATGGATTATCGTTATCCCATGAAATAGTTTTCAAATGAACATTAATGACTCCATGGCATTACTTCGATGCCTTTGTTAATCATCTTGCTATTTTTTTTATCTAACTATGCTAATTTGATGATGACCGACTGGCTGTTTTCACTGTGAAAATGTTTGATTTAAGTGTACAACAGGCTTACAAATTTGAAGCTGTAAATAATTTGGTAGTTCATGATCATCCGGTAGTGAAAAAAAACGGAGACTCGTTGAAAACCGAATGGAGACGGTACCAAAAATACTGAGCGAATTAATAGTGTATGGAGTTGTCACCTACTCCGGTCTACTTGTTGAGGTATTTTTATTTGAACACATAAATATTGGTACAAAGAGGCACCGAAAGCATATGCGCCAAACAAATCACTTGATTTCTTTGTGGGCTGTGATACTGCCCGGGTGCTCGGAACGAAGCAGGTGGTTTTCTTGGGGGGTCACACCTGCAGCCTTCGACTTAAAGGTCTGATCCACAAGGTAGTGGAGTAACGTCAGGAGATGCAGTCCCAAGGTAGCTAGTGGCCATGACATTGGTTCCCTCAGAATCCTAGAACCCATGTGCACCACTTGTTTGGAATCAGGGTTTTCCAACTCCCCTAGATGGATCCTCCATACCCACCAACCTGGTTAGGGAGCCGGACATTCGCTTTTCGTCCTGTCAATTTGGTGAACAACACTTCTCCCCGTGATAAGGCAGTGAGTAGAACTTTCGTGGGAGTGGTTGTATACGCGTGGCCATATGAGAGCATTTGGAGAAGGAGAATGGACTTTCTCCGTTCTCGGCCGTACCAGGGCATTTGGGGGCAACACTTGACATTGTCTCATTCTTCTATGAATGAGACTTCATAAAAAGATCCCCCAAAACGTCTAACCCTAAAGTAAGTAACTCCTTTAGTTTGAGATTTTATTCAACACTGAATATGAATTAACATCCTATCACAAACATAGTGGCAGTAACTAGACCAGAGGCTTAGAAAACTTTGAAGAAATCTGATATTAGCGACGAAATTATGTTTATAAAATTTCAGTGATTAAACTTAAAATGGATCCACTTCGTACGGCAATCTGTTAAAGCATTTTTAAAGGCATCTCATAATAACTGGGCACCCGACTACAATGGAACTTAGTTTAACTTTAGAAGATTCTTATAAGATGGAGTCTGCTCTATTTTTTGACAAGAATAATAGCTGCTCTTATGAAAAAAATGCGGTTTTGCATCCCGATTAATTTAAACAACTAACTATGGATCTTAACGTACCTGGATAAAACTAATTAAACGTGGTCTAACATTACAGTCCCCTACCATATACATAGCCTAAGTAGAATAATTGAACTAGCACGAAACTGCTTAGTCTCACAGTTTTACCTATTTTTCTGATTTACGAGGGCATTTTATTTTATTTTTACTCACGTGAGGCTAACAACTATGAGAACTATGGGACGACTTTGCGAGATTATGTTGGAAGGACAGTTACACGTTCATCCAACAATACATAAAACAAGCACGATCAATAACTGCAAATTGCATGCATTCATACCATTTGATTCCTGAAAGGTAACTAGTACTACAGTTGACCACTTAAAATAACATATTTCTAAACAACCAATTAGTTACTCCGAATACATTTTACTGCGAAACCCAGTATACATACACTAGCGCTGTTTAATCCATGACAGAGGTTCGGTCACTAGTCAGAAAAGCCAGTAGCAACCTTCTTATTATTGTAAATCAATAATAGGGATTTCCCTCTATCGATTAAATTTACATTTGCAGTAGAATAAATGCTGTTTGTATGAGATCAACAGTGAAGATATGACGTTAAACAGCTGCTTCTACTCAATGTTTAGTCAGGAAGATTAATGAAACCTTATCATTTATCGAAAAGTGTCGAAACATCAGTGTAAATTTTGTGGCAATCGAAATCACATTATGCAACCTATTTTTGTATACCCATCACATGTCATTCTAATTTGACCAGGTATTTAGTAACCTGTTGCGCCTGTCTCCCAACCTAACTGTACTTTCATGTTGTTTATTTTATATAAACGTCTCATGTTTTGGTAGACTAATGACTTTATTCAATTTTTAATCCCTATGGACACTTAAGTGCCCAAATCCTAATTTCTGTTAGCGCTGGAGAGGTTAGGCAACAGAATAGGTACGAGGTAAACAGATGTTTCATTCATCACCGCTAACGGAGATAAATTTTGAAGCCAATATATTATCTACAACTACTATTCAGGTCATAATCTCATCTTGATCACAACAAAAGGTGTTTTTACACGACTCCTAATATGAAATAAGGACTTAAAATTGAAAAAGGCAAGGTAATGCATCAAAACTTACTGAAACGCTAGGGGAGCGGCAGGAAAATGAAACAAAAGACTGGTTATTATAATGAGGAATGCATGTGGAACAACAATATGATTCGTTCGAGGTAAATAAGTTCCACCTCCCTGCACACTTCATAGCACGTTCTGACCAAGACATAGAACAGGTGTTTCGGCTCAATGGGCAGGTGGAGAGGCGTTCAGCTAGTCCATTACAATAAATAAGACACTTGGTTTCAGAGTATGTCCTGGAAGACTAACAAAAATTTAGGACTGTGCTTATTGTTACCTGCATTCGGACTTTCACAACATCCAGAGGTGTCATAACAAACGCTGTCATTATACCACCAACTGAAGAAGCGATGATCCGGTGAGTGAATGAGACCTTCGATAGCTTTTCGTCACTTGACTCCATGTCACCATGTAAAACCCATTACCAGAGGCACCGTTGTCTGTAGGTTGGAGTGTGGGAACAGTGTGTAACTGGAAAAAAGCGACAAGAGAAGTGATCAGGTGACTCCATAAAGGCATATAACATACTTACGTCTAATAATAAAAGCAAACGAGAAAAGTCAGCAATGGCACAAGCGTAAGATCAAGTCAATCCGATATTCGAAACCAGGTGTTGGTGAAGCGAGGTACCGAACGCATTACATCGTCACAGACCCTTCTAAGCGCTTCTGTCCAAGGACAAAGACCAGGATTATTAGTCCAATACACGATATCGTTGTGATGACTGATTACAGGTCAACCAATCCCTTTATCTTACCCTTTTAATCGTATTAAAAAACGATGAGCTAAAACAACTTAATCAATTCATTATCTTAATTACCACCGATTGGGAGAACTGACCATGCAGTCATCTTATTCAAATTCATGGCTGAGATTACTTGTCAAACAGTTGCACCGGCCCGTCTTAACATATAGAAGACCAATATGCAGGCAATTAACTCCGCAGAATCGTCTGAGAACTGGGAAATTGACTCAAAGACATCAGTACAAGAGGCATGGATTCTGTTCAGGCAGTTATACAATCGGGTAACTCAACCATACATACCCTGAACTGTCCTAAAGAAAAAGAAGCACGGACATCCCTGGATAGGACGAAATATTCGACGCTCACCAAGACAAAAGAAGAAATGCTGGGATGTTGCCATCCGCCTTGGCACAGCAGGTACGATGGAACGCTACAGATCGATAAGAAACGAGTGCATAACGAAAATTCGGGAAGCTCAAAAAAAATATGAAATGTAGCCGGCACAATCTGCACTCAAGCAGTTCAAGAGAATATTCTCGTACATAAACTACAGAAAAAGGATCCATCATTGGATTCCCAACCTAATTAAAGTAGGAAGTGAATCTGAAATGATAGAGGAAGATCAGGAAAAAGCAGGGGCTATGGCTGAATATTTTGGGGCAGTTTTCACTCAGGAACCTCCTCTAGAGAAAGAATCCGACCCAAATACAGAGTCAACAAACCAGCTACTCACCGTGGACTTCGATCAAGACGATGTGCTTAAGGCTCTTAGCACCCTAAATATGGAGAAGTCAACAGGACCAGATGAACTAAACCCCAAAATCTTGAGACATATTGTCCAATATATCGCGGCCCCACTGACTGTGATATTTAATATGTCACTTGACCAAGATGTGTTACCTATGGACTGGAAGGACGCAATTATCACTCCCATACAGAAAACAGGTCCACGACAAGTTCCATCGAATTACAGACCCGTAAGCCTCACCAGTGTTTTAATTAAAATACTGGAAAGAATAATCAAACGGACCATAACGGTATTTATGGAAACCAATAACTTGCTGAAAATGGCACAACATGGTTTTAGAAAGGGTCTATCCTGTACAACGAACCTGCTTATTGCTAGGGAGCTCTGGATTAATGCGCTAGACAACGGAAACTCAGTGGATGTTGTCTACATAGATTTCAGTAAGGCTTTTGACAAGGTGCCAACTAATAGACTGCTATTGAGGTTGGAAAACCTTGGTATTGTCGAACCTCTTTTAAAATAGATTAAAGATTTCCTAGTAGGTCGTAGACAAAAAGTAAGAATAAATTCCGAATGCTCCATCTGGAGACCAGTACTTATTTGAGTACCTCGAGGTTCCGTCCTAGGTCCTTTACTTTTTATAATGTACGTTAATGATCTTACAAGTATGGTACAGTCTCCAATGTTATTATACGCTGACGATGTAAAAATTTGGCGAGTAATAACTGGAGACAAAGACGCATTTACTCTTCAGGAAGATTAAAGTAACATGATAAACTGGTCTAAAGAGTGGCTGATGCCTATCAACGCGGAAAAGTGTGTTTACATGCACTTGAGGGATTCAAAGGTTAATAAGTACAACATAGAGGATGTGTCATTACCCGTAGTCCGGTCTGATAAGGATCTAGGGGTGACAGTGAGTAATGATCTTAAGACGACGTCCCATTGCCGGGAGGTCGCAGCCAAGGCGTTTCGAACCCTCTGGGCTTTATAAAGGACTTTCACTAGGTTAAATACTACCATTTTCACCACAGTATACACATCCTTAGTGAGAACTAAGCTAAAGAACTGCGCTCAGGCTGCAAGCCTCAGTTTAAAAGGTGACTCGGACATACTAGAAAAAGTATAGAGGGCAGCTACCCGTGCAATTCCGGAACTCCGGGGTTTATCATACAAAGAGCGGCTTGAAAAACTGAACCTCTTTACTCTGTCCTATCACAGACTAAGGGGAGATCTAATTTTGATGCCTGAAGCAGTGGTGTCCGCACCTTCAAGAGAAGACTGGACACTCGCAGAAGCATAGTAGAAAAGGAGTAACAAAGGCCGTAGGCCTTCTGTCCTTACTACACAAATCTGAATCTGAATACTTCACTAGTGTCTGGTGATATAAGTACATCCAACCAGATTTGATAGGTCAATTGGATCTCACTGCGATTTTCGGATTATGTGAATGTGCTGAGTACTTTGTTCTAGCCATTTTGGTAGACCCTTTTTGGTGCTTATTATACGAATCGCTATGATCCCCTTCTAAAGAAATCACGTACATCGATTGATATCATTTACCTTGGTTTCTCAAAAGCTTTTGATAGGGTCAACCATATATGTCTTATCAATAAGCTCAAATGGTTGACTATCAGACCACCTCTAACTGATTGGCTCATTTAATACCTAAAAAATCGACAAATGTGTGGTTATAAAAGAAAATATAGTGCTAGAAACAGTATTGTGGTATACAATTGGCTATCTTCCTTTTATTATCGAAGCTATTAGAGCCCCTTTCATTTTTTGTATTATTATTTTTTTCAGATATTATAGGGTCTTGAGTAGGCTTCTTATATTAGCGAATTGTCTGGTTTGCTTGTAATAGGATTTCTGGGTAGGATGTGAAACCAATTCAACGTTCGTAACACGATTTAAAGAGGAATTTTGCGTGATAAGTCATCATCAATACCATAAGTTGGTGACATCCCACTAAACCATAAAGAGCCATAATTAAACAAATTGTTGTGGATTGTGTCGGTTTTTGGTGTGGGAATATATCTACGTTGTGGTCAGAGTAATTACGTGTTCTTGGTCTGAGTTGTGTTGATGTCCTCTAGAATAGACAATGGGAGGGATCTAGTGTAGATAATCGTTAAGGTAAATTAACGTCCCATACGTGTAAACCTGGAACCCAACCGGTATAACATTAGACAAAGTAAAACTAAGTTTTATAACGACATTTATAACCCATCCGTATACGAACCATCAAGGTAAATACAGGTATATGTTGGACGTACATGTGCGATGCATGTCCCAACTCTCTCCTTCGATAATGACACTCTATTTTGTCAACTGATTTATGATCTTTACGTAGTACTTTGCATTTATTCTCAAACTTGCCAAGTCAAAGATCCCATAATATGCGCGTTATGCTTCAGAGACACCTATGATAGAATACTAGGAACCTGAGGACACCCTATATTGATAAAGCAGTTTACAATACGCTGATCTAACCTTTTACACACATTCGCCACTCAGATTCTTTAGGAATATACAATGTACTCCGTAAAATTCATCCACCTGAGCTACAAATCTCCACATTCCGACAGTGGATTTCCGAATTTTCATGTCGCTTCCACTCAGCAAGTAGTGCATCCAAATCATTTATTAATCTATTATGGTATATTTTCGTGAGAGAAGCTTCTGAAGGAGAAGTATATCATCCTTATGTCAGTTGACTGTTGTCAGGTGACTGGTTCTAATTATTCTTTCGAACATATCACTGGGCCCACAACAACTGGACACTCAGCATTTGCTTGACCAGTTGATCATCAAAAATATCATAGATAATAACAAACCGGACATCGTTTTACTTCGTAGTTCTCGATAACATCATAGTAAATATTGTGGAATGAATATTTAGAAATCTGGAATATCCCAGGCGGGCACGACGTTGATTTCAGATGAAAAATTACTTTGGTGTCCGATATGAAAATACACAGAATAATATTTCGTCACATAAAACACATTATCATGACGAGAGGAATGAAAAAACCTGAGTAGCAGTAGTAGCGAAAAACTGAGAAAACTCAAATTATTCGAAAAAACTAGCGCTACCATTTAGAAGCTAACACAAATTACGAAATTCAACACACTGAGTAACTAAGCACTGCAGCTACAATAGAAGACTGGAGGAAAACACAAAAAACGAAGAAAACTGTCCTGTACTGCTGACAAAGATGGCGGGATCGATCATGCTCGCCGTATTCTGATTCGTCGCTAATTAATGTCAAAATTACGAACCGTGGATATGCTTGTTTTCGATCTAATAGTCTGTAGTAGGTAAAGAATCCTCTCTAAACAAATGTTACATAGGAAATAATGGTCGAGTAAGAACAGGATTAAGGATTTTTGTGCTCAAATCATTGATTTAGATATAATAAATGTGCAAATCTTAACCGAACAAGTAAGAATCAGCTTTTGATCCATGAACTAGAATGACTGGACTCAAAACCACTTTAATTACTCTTTTTATAACATAATACGAGGAGTTATATGTGCTTCGATGACGTTTCACTGCTTTACCTTCCTTCATCTTGACATAATAAATGTACCGATCAAACGATTAAAGCATATATTAAAGCTTCAAAAAAGCGGCCATACGAAAAGCAAGTTCCCAATATGGAAGCAGACCACCGATAATTGGTTGATTGTCTATGATATTTCGAGGTAGGCGATACGTAGAAACAACCAGTTGTCTGTTTAAACAACAATAAGATTTAAGTAACTGATTTCGCTATAGATTCACTATTAGATATCCAAATTATACTAAAGTGGAAGACACTAGAAATATTTTACGGATAAACGTTGTCGCTTTCGTAATCTGCACTGAACGTCAAGGTCGATTGCACCTTGCAGTTGGATTAGTGTTTGATTTGTAGGCCAAAGGCCTGGAAATCGTATGTTTATTAGGGCTTCTGATAAATGCTACCTACAGTTTACTGCTTATATAAGCACAAGTATGTATGTCTATTACATTCGATTAATTAGGAGTTACTTTGGAGCAATAGGAAATCGCGCAAACTATGTCTGTGCCTGGTGGTTCTTGATTATCTTTTGAGATTCGCATACGTCTACAACTAAAACAGGTCATTTAAATAATAATCAGAATTGCTGATAATGGCTGATACTTTGG